CTTTTATGGCCATCTTAATGCAGCACTTGGGGCTCTTTTTCTGGGGAGAGCGCACGGGGCATGGAGGAGCAGAGGGAGATAGCAGGCAGGACGCGGCACAGGTGTCACGTTCTCCACACCTGGAAGCCCATCCTTGTCTGCGTTCCCTGGCCTCCTCTCCTCCCACCTGGTCTGATTTCCTCCAAGGCATCCTCATCCTGATTTGCATTTCCCATCTCACTTCATGCTCAGCATCCCTCCCATCCTGCCCAGGCTGCAGCATAGCTCTGAGAGTGGTTCTGACCCTCAGCTGGGAACAGATGGGCCCATGCTCTCGCACACCTGGCCACCTCCTTGCGACTGCTGCATTGCATCTTCTTCCTGGCCTTGCCATCCTTTCTTGGATTCCATTTCCATCACATTGCCCTATCCCCCCTTCATGGGCTCTCTTCTCTTCTTCCCCACGGCTCTTGCCGGTGGTGGCTGTAGGTGCGGACTCGAGACATGGGCGGCTACAGCACCACAACCGACTTCATCAAGTCTGTCATCGGCCACCTGCACCCCCATGGGGGCTAGGCCCCTTTAGTCCCTCCAACCTCACAAGGACCATACTACCTACACCTCCCTTCAGTACAGTGGACCAGAGAAGAGTTCTTAAACCTTTAGACCATAATCATCTGGGCAGAGCCTAGGTTGTCCTGGGGCTGGCTTCCTTAGGGAATGGTGTTATCAGGTGGGGGTGGGGGGTGGGGGAGAGGTTAGGGATGGGGCCTCGGCCACAGGGATGATGGCAGTTCTCCCCTACAGGTTCGAACTTCTGACATGGGTGGCTATGCCACCTGCCAAGACTTCACTGAGGCGGTCATTGGTGCTCTGCCTCAATAGGTCCCACCCATGCCCATGTAAAGTGTTCAATAAAACACATATATATTGACTCTTGTGAAGTTGTTTTTATTGGGATATAAGGGATGGGCTGGGAAAGGTCATGTGGGTTATGCCCCCCACCAGGTAAACGTCCATTCTAATCTTCCTGGGATAGCTTCTGGAGCTTTTTCTTTTTCTTGGAGCTGCTGCTCTTGCCGCCAGCAGCCTCTTCAGGTCCACTGCTGAGTGGCTCCTCCTTCGAAGAGAATTTCCTCTTTTTCTTGGGGATGCTCCTATTTGCTGCCTCTTCAGCATCAGTAACTGGTTCCTCTTTGGGGGCAGATTTCTTCCTCTTGGGAAGACTTACACTGGCAGCTGTCTCTTCAAGATCACTACTAACCAGCTCCTCCTTGGAAAAAGATTTCTTTTTCTTGGGTTTGGAGACAGGGACAGATGGGTCTTCCATTCCATTCTCCTGTGGAATCTCCTGGGCCTTTTGCTTTTTCTTCTTTTTGGGTCTTTCACTTGTCTCCTAAAGAATGAAATGGGCATGAAACCCTCATCCATTGTATGAACACACACACCTCTATTAAAATTCTAGCAACTAAGTAGTTGGGGCTGAAAGCAGTAGAAATGATGTGAAAATTGCCCAGTGTTTCTGGGGTGGTTTTTAACAGACACTGGAAATCCACCCCAAAGGTGACTCCCACTTAGGGAGAATGTGTTATCTAAGCCCATGAAATAGCTTATAGAAGACCCCACAATAGAACCATCATGCCATGTTGCAAAGGGGACCCTGAGAAACTACTTGACAAACTGGGCACTCCATGAAAATCCAAGGGGGTGGAAGGGGGTGGGGGAGAACCCCGAGGTAGCATCATGGAGACCTCCCTGCCCCAAGCCCCACTAGGAAATGCCACCGCCTCCGGACACAGGCTGAGAACGCGCAGAACAGGGATTTACACTACCCCCGGTTGAGGACTCCTGGGAGGCAGCCGAGGACAGAACACTTGCCCAGGGACCCGGTGTGCTACAACCAGCTCTCTGAGCTCCTGAGCCAGTTCTCTCAGCACCTATCTCCTTCCTATAGAATCAAGAGGTAGTTGAGATGTTTCAGGTCCTTATTTCAGTCCCAAAGCCTGGACTCAAGACCATGGCTTGAGGTAGCACATCCTTTGTTCTGCTGTTGAGAATCCTACATCCAGGGTTTTCACCCTGGGCTAACGGCTGGTCTGCCTACTGACCTCACACTCCTCCGGGGTACTACTGCTGTTTTCTGAAGATGCGAGGGCCAGGGCGGCCAGCCGTTTCTTCTCCTTCTTCAAGCGTTTCTTCTCCTGCTTCTCCAGCTTCCTAGCCATCTCAGCAGCCGCTTCCTCTGCCTGGGCAAAGAAAGGTGCTCAAGAGGCCCTGAAGACTTCAGGCTGTCCAGGCCTCCCTTCTGGCTTCATCGGATCAGGCTCATTAAATCAGTTTTTCACCTCCATTCTACAGGGTCAGGCTAAGCCAGTTCATCACCTCCAACAGACAGCTCTGGTCCTCCCCCCACCCAGCAAAGCCCCAACTGACCTGAACCATTGCCTCCTTCATGACATCCAGATTCTTTCGTGGAATCTCTCCGGTCTCGTAGAAGGACAGCCGCTCCTCAACTTGCTCTCGAAGCTTCTCCCCAAATACACTTGTGGGCACCTCTAGATGTGTGTGTGTATGTGTGGATAGATAAAGCCTGTCAGCCCCTCCAGGGCCAGCTACTCCCCAGCCCGTTTTCCCTCTACCCTCAGCTTCACTCAGACCCAAAGTATCAACACTCACTAGGTGAACTGCTGTTGACGAAAAATACTGCCATCATTGTAGAAGCTGCTAGGTAGTTAGCCTTCCCTCCCCCCCGAGCCCCTTTCTCCTCCAAGCCCCCCCCCCCACCCATACCAGAGAAGCAATCAATTCGTGAGGCAATACTGCATTTGTTTGCCAGGTAGCGGGAGATGCGGCCTTTGTTCTTGGCAGCTGCTCGGCCAATGAAGGTGGAGTGGAAAATGAGTCCATATTTTGGGGTGTTACCCCTTGTCTTCAGGGCTCTGGGAGAAGAATATTTAGTGGGGAGTTTTAAGATCAGAAATTTCAACCCTACTAGCCAAGGCAGCTCCTCCCCTCCCCTGTACCCTCAGTGTCCAGAGTGAGCCGCAGGCTGCTGACCCCACCTCATGCCAACCCACAGCTCCCAGAGGCAGAGGGAAGGCATCCAATGTCGCTGACCTGGAAATCTGGTCCCTTTGCTGGGCCCTGGGAATCACTCAGACACCAGGACTGGCCATCACCCCCATAGCAGAGGTCTGTACGGGTCAGGGAGCCCTGGTCAGCCATCACTGTGATCCCCAAACAAGCAGTGGGCACCAGAAGTGGCACCTGAGTGTGGGCAGGTGCCCTCACTGGTACCTGAACAGGGCCTTTTCAGCCCCTAGGATCTGCACTGTGGACGCTGGATACTTGGCCAGGTTGGTGAGGCTCCCAGCATGAGCAATGAGACGCGCACCTACCTGGAAAAGGATTCAAGGCATTAGAGAAGCTGCAACTGCCCATCTACCAACTGCACAATTCTGCTGCACCCCATCAAGTACAAGTGGGGAAGAGAACAGTGGGTCAGGAAATACAGCAGTATGGACCTATGCTGTCACACGCCTTAGCCCCATTTGGTGTTCCCCATGACGCACCGCTTCCCCAATTAGGGCCGAGAGGCTGGGGGCTACTTGGCTCATCTTGGACCGCAGGTATGTATGCAGGCTCTGGCGGTAGTCCGACAAAGACACCACACGGCTGGAGAAGCTCTCGATGTTTATCAAGTCGATGGCCGATATGTCCATGCCTAAGGGACACCCGGTGTGAATGCAGGGCCAGATAGTCACAGCCCCAAACTGTCTTGGCCACTAGGCTGTACTGACCCATGGAGGATCGCGAGGCATCCAGAATAGCCTTAGCCTTGGCCCCATCCATCGTCAGCTCTTCCAGCTTCTCCAGCTTTTCTTCATTCAGCTCCCTTCGGTTTCCAATGAACTGAGCAAGGCGGCAGTAAGTAGCATTGTCGTTGATGATCTTCACCAGCTCAGGAAAGTGATACCCATACCACTCCCTGCAAAGAGCCACCATCACTCCCTGCCCAGCGGCTAGGTCTCAAAGCTACAGCCTCAGCCCTCTCCGTATCTATTCTTTGCCCAGAGAAAAGGGATCAAGTCCAATTCAAAACCTCAACTCCATGTCCCCCCATTCACAATACAGACCAGGCAAAGAGCCTGGGCTGGGGTGTATATGGGTGGATTTACTCTACCTCCTCTTTCTGTACAGTCAGTGTAAGAACACAGCCTGTGGTAAGCACTGGGAGGCTTGGCCCCACCCCACATTGTTCTACCCACAGGAGCTAGTCCTGATTTCAGCATTCAAAATTCGCTAAACCACAGGCCAAAGACCCCATTCTCAGGGGTCGCTTGGGCACTTTACCTGACACGCATGGAGAAAGTATTGATGTCCTTATCCAGCTGGTCCAGGAGGCTGATGGACTGGATAATCATATTGTCCACCCGGTTCACATTAAATTTAACTTTGGCACGAGAATAGCTGTGTCCCAGCCCCAACTGGGCTTTACAAGCAGACAGATCAGTCAGACCTTTCACCAGGTTGTGGAAGTGCAGACGAACCCCTGGAGGAGAGCAAGACAGTGAGCAAGAGAAGGCTCTAAGCCAGCTCCGGCACCCATGGGTTGCTTCCCAGAAGCGACCTTAAGCACCCTGATTAAATTTCCAGATCCCCCGTCAAAGATGTCAAGAATGTTAATAGATGGTCCCACCTCGCAGGATCTCAGCTATCACGCCTCCAGTCTGGCAGTTGTACCCTAACTCCTCTTGTATAGCAGCACCGATCTTGGGGTCTCCAACCCCCAGGAGGACTTTCTTCTTTTTGGATGGCAGGTGAGTCTCCAAGAGCAGGCGGAGGTCCTCATGAACAACACCTCAAGGCAAAGAACAGAGCTCCCACTAACATGCTGAAGAATGCTTAAATCATAAAAGGGATCTGTCCCCTTAACCGCTGATTACATGACAAACTGATCCCACATTGGTCCCACAGAGCATGCTAAGATGGCATGCCTACATCCTTCCTTGCTTCAGGCTTCGCTCAGCGACATGGAGACATCAGTGATTGCACTCAGGGGATTGACAGACTCAAGTCATCACTGCAAAGCCTGCATCAACCAAGGAAGGAACAGGACTCTGGTCCAACAGCATGTGTGTGAAGTACAGAATTGAAACCTTAAACATACCCAGGAGCACTATGGAGACAAGTATTTAGTATTTGATTTACACGTCCTGGGGCCAAACCTTTTTTCTTGGCTCTTCTGTATCAAAATTGCCTTTTCTAATTAACTTCAACAATGACCAAAGAACCACCTACCAAATTGCACTGAAGAATCATCTACCACCCACAAAGCCTAGGTCCTGGATTGTGCACTTTAAACATGTATATACCATATTCCCCAGACCTTGGGCTCTGTTTTAAACCACATCCTGTACACACCAAATACTGCCCAACACGTACCTGACTTACAACAAATTAGCCAAGGAAAGGACAATGCAATCACAAACCCCCCCCATGAGGATAAGATCAGCAACAACTAAACCTCCGCTCATCTCCCTAAAATACTCGGTTGTGGCCGACTCACCTTCGGACACAGCGTTGGCATTTTCCAAGGCAACCTGGGACGAGGCAAAGGGACAAAAGGCCACGAGACGAACGATGTTGTGGAACTTGCCCAGGTTGAGCACGCACTCCTCTACCTTGGAGGAGAACAGAGCATGAGTGGTTTTCTTCCCTCGCTCTTGCCTCTAGGGCGCAGTAAAGCAGCGGTTCCCAGCCCTGGTCGTAGGTGAGAACAACCGCACGCTTCATAAATGAGCCGATTATAGACAGGCCCTAAATCCCGGTCGGCTTCATCGTACGGAGAGGAGTCCGGGGGGCTTACTTCTAAATGCTCCCAACGCGACTCTAGTCACGAACGCGGGTAAGGACCCCCCGGCTCTGGAGCTTTCGGGCCCAGCGCATCCCCCAGTGCGCGGCCGGCCACGTGGGAGCGCGCGGTGCATGCTGGGGCCCCGGGGCCCGAGGGGCTGCGGCGCAGCCGGCCAGCCCACCGCCGCCTTCACCCACCTGCGGCAGCAGCAAGCTGATCTCCTCCACCTCCTTCAGCGCCAGCAGCGCGTAGCCGACCGCGTGCTCAAACAGCACGTGCAGCAGCACCTGGAAGAGAGCCGGGAGCAAGCATCAGCGCCGTCCCCGCGTTCGCCCGCCCCGGCTCCCAGGGCAGGTTCTGGCCCCGGCCCCAACCCCGGCCCGGGCTCCCGCCCGCACTCAGGCCCAAACCTCGGCCTTCATCCCACCCGCAACCACTCCTCACCATGGCGCCCGCTCCTGGCCCGGCTCGCAATGCGGCGAGCGTGCTCTGGCGCGCGGAACCAGGCTCCGGAGGCCACGCCCCCCGCGCCGCCGGCCAATCAGAGGCCGGGGACGATACCTTTGCGGGCCTCCGGAGGGGACCGCCGCGGTGGTATCGCCCGCAGCGCGGGAGGGGGAGCGCGGGCGCGCGGGCGGCCTTCCGGCCTCTGCTGTGGCGCCCGCCGGCGTGGTTGCCGGGGACGCGCGGGATGGGGCCCGGCCCTGCAGGCCGCAAAGCAGGTAGGGGAGGCGCTTTCCCGGGTAATAGTCCAACCCCTCAGGTCTTCGTTATAGGAATTCTGGATGGCTGAGCTCGGCGAGCGCCGGGCGGGAGGCCTCGCGCGGGTCTCGGCGACCATTCCCGGACAGAAGCTTGCCGAGCCCGCTTTCCGCGGCGTGAGTGACCTGGGGTCGGGGAGCGCTCCCTGCGCCCCACGCCCCCCGGGACCCCTTCGTCCCCGCTTCCGACTCGGGGACCACCCTGCTCCCGCGGACCGAAGCGGGGCCTGGGGCGCGTTGGCGCAGACCCCGAGGAAACGGCTCCTCCGGGCCCGCTTCGCGCTTTTCGGTTGTATTTTATTTTTTTTTAAATGTTTATTATAGGCGATAAAGTAGAAAAGAACGACGATCTCACTTCTTCCTAGGTCGGTTTCTGGTTCCTCTACAAGAAGAACCAGTTCCTTTGGAAGGGCCACGTGTTGCTCGCCCAGTGGAACCCCCAGTTAGCTCCAAGGGAATTGGAGCTCCTTTTCCATGTCCTCGAGGGCGGGTTTCGGGCATCCTGGCGATTATTTTGAAATTACCTACGCTTTAATAATTAATATTAGAATTATAAACCCCAAACTTGTATATCCTACAGTGGTATATATACTGGTAATTAAAAAAAATTTTTTTTTAAGATTTTATTTATTTGAGAGAGAGTGCGCGCGCGCACAAGCCAGGGAGAAAGGCAGAGGGAGAAGCTGACTCCTTGCTGAGCAGGCAGCCCATGGCGAGGCTCCATCCCAGGACCCTGGGATCAAGACCTGAGCTGAAGGCAGAGGCTTAAACGACTGAACTATCCAGGCGCCCCTTATAAAATTTCAAGGGGATTTTTATTCTGTATATTCTCATAACTAAAGTGAATTTATACATTTAACATATTTTCTTCTTAAGCAATTCAGTTATTTGGTAAACAAAATTCAAGTAGTGAGCTCACTTTTTTTTTTTTAAAGATTTTATTTATTTGACAGAGAGAGACACAGCAAGACAGGGAACACAAGCAGAGGGAGGGGGAGAACTAGAATCAGGCTTCCGGCTGAACAGGGAGCCTGATGCGGGGCTCAATCCCAGGACTTTGGGATCATGACCTGAGCCGAAGGCAGACGCTTAACGACCGAGCCACCCAGGCGCCCCGTGAGCTCACTCTTAATACAGTGAATCTTAAAATCTCATAATCTCAATATTGCTTAAAATGTGATTAAATTCTGTTACATATATTTACATAAGGTCATGGGTCTGAATCAATTACTCTCTGACACTTTAAAGTGGAATTGCAAAATTAATCTGTTACATCAATATGTTAAATTCTCTTAAATTATAAATATCAACTTAAGCAGATGATTCCAAAATGTAATGGGAAATATTAATGCTATGACTGATTTTTTTCATTATTTCTGTACTTAATGCTAAATATTCCTGGGGTTACAGGTGCTTATCTACTAAAGTGGAAGTTTTCAAAGGAGAAGTCAGAATCCATTAATGGATTGCAGAATTAATTTAGACATTCTTTGCCAGCATTAAAAAAAACAGGATGAAAGAAAATAGGAAATAAGAGTATGTCACATACAGTATTGATCTGTAAAACTTTTTGCTTTAGCTAAACATACATATGAATGTAAGATACACATGTACACATACAAATTTAAGAGTATATATATAAGTTACATAAACATACATTTCTGTGGATTAAATACAAGAAGGCAGAGAGTCACTGAGCTGGAAGATAGCCAGTCATACTTGGGAGAGAGCTGAGTCCTCTGGTTATATAGGAGCTGTACTGGAGTAGTATGCTAACTCAGAAATGACAGAAGAAAACCACACTTCCACTGGTGAGATACATTCCTGATTAGATGGGATGTGGGGTAAACACTAAAAATCTTTTGGCTTCTTCGCCTCCACTTCTTGTACTAAGCTATCTCCCCAATACTTTATGATCCTGACCGCAATGGGCATTTCTGCAGTGTGTGATATTAGAGACCATACCTTCCCTTTGGGCTGGGTTCATTCTTACCGAGGTTCAGTTCTTCACCACCAAAGTGGACTTTTGCAAAACTTTTGGTTTCCCTTTCTCTAAGCCACCTTCCTCTCCATTGCCGGGGGTGTTCTTCCTAAAGCAGAGTATCCAATCATGTTCGGTTTGTAGGTGCTCATTGTGGCATGAAGTCATAGGAAGATTAAGGGCTTGGTGTCTCAGGATCACCTGTGGTAGCTAGTGTGCAAAAATGACCCCCAATGATCCATGCCTCCTGACATTAGGTCCTCGTGTAGTCCCACAAGGAACCAGGCTGGGTCTGTGATGCATTCTAGGCAATAGAATGTGGCAGGAGTGATTCTGTGCCCGTGCCAAGCCTCAGCCTTTTGCATTCTTGGGAGCCTTGAGTTACCTTATGAGAAATTCAGCTACTTGGCTGGAGAGACCACATAGAGAAGGAGAGGCCCTGATACTTTATGGACAGGTCCAGTTTTCCCAGCAGCTCAGCTGAGCCCAGCCTTGCAGCTGTCCCTGTCAAGAAAGGAGACGTTTAGGTAAAGCCATTTTGTGTGTTCCAGCCCCTGCCACCATCTGACTGCAGCCACATGAGCAACTCCAAACAGGACCAGTAGAAGAACCACCTAGTTGAGCCCCACCTATGCACAGAATTGTGAGAAATAATATATTGTGGTTTTATTTATTTTTTAAA